TGGACTTCTGCCTCCACCCTCACTGCCTGCCTCACCACCTGGCTGAATTCTGCAGGCCCTCCAGGCTGCCTGCCTCCAGGGGCATCCATGCCTCAGCTTAGGGGCCACTCAAATGCTTTTGTTAGGAGGAGGCTGCTGGGGAAGCCATGTCTTCTGCCTGTTGGTGAGCTCTTCTAGAGCTGGGCTCTGGCCTCCTGGCCTCGGGTGCTCATGCACCATGCAAAGTGCACCATGCATTCCTCACCAGCTACAGATTGATTCAACGTGTGTTTTGACCCAACCTTGCTTTTGTTCCCAATTCCTGCCCTGGTCACGGTGATCTGGCATGGCCACATCCCTTAAGCTAATGCCACCTCGATGTCACAAAGTTGGCTGTGTTGAAACGGCACCACCTCCTGTTTCCCAAACTCACTCTGCAATGAGTCCTCTTCTTGCCTTGAATATAACCCTTGCAGCTTATTTTAAAATGGTACTGGGACTGGCAGCTCTTTAAAACTGATGTGTTGTATTTTCCCTTCCTTTTCTTCCTCTCCCCCCCCCCCCCAACCATGAGAGTAACAAGATTAACCTTCCCAGCTAGGTTGAGTTATCTGGTCTGCTCACCTTAGTAGGAATGAAGGAATCCAGACTTTGGGGTTGGCACTTGCAGATCTAAAAAATGCCAATCTCTCAAGGCTATAAATGAATTATGACCCCCCCACAGGGCACACCTGGAGTTTTCCTCTCTTTAAAAGATATCTTCCATCTGGGCATGGTGGTGCATGCCTGTAATTGCAATGACTCAGGAGGCTGAGGCAGGAGGATCACAAGTTTGAGGCTAACCTCAGCAATTTAGTGAGACCCTAACTCAAAAAATTGAAAGAAAAGAACTGGGATGTAACTTGGGGGGGAAAGTACCCCCTGGGTTCAATCTCCAGTACCGGGGGGAAAAAAAAAGGAAAAGGTTTCTAGCAAAGAATCCCACTGAACTACCTTCTTCCTTTTCTCCAAACCTTGTCATTATTGGAGCAGCATCAGGGACAAGGACTAAGCTTATGTATCAACTCCTGAGTCTGTGGAAGATGATTTTATCCTAGTGTCCAAATTCTTAATGTTTGTTGTTTGTGGTGCCGGGGATGGAGCCAGGGCATTGTGCGTGGTTGGCAGGTGCTCCTTGCTGCGCAGTTTCTCTTGCCTGCCACTAGTTGTAAGGATTCCCATCCTTTCCCTATTTTATCCTCTGATTTTGCTGACCAAGGGTGAGGCGGGCCATGGATGCAGAGCACCATCTGTGTCCTTTAATGACTCTGGGGCAGTTCCTGCATGTCAGATGTATAGGGGGCGGAGCACGGAGGTGGCCCCAACCTGAAGCCCACTGCACCGCAGGCTGCATGCGCTGCCTCCTCCCGGCCTGAGGGGGTCTGTTATCTGGTTGGTCTGTCTGGTTCTGGATCTCATCCTCCCGGCCTTTGACCTCTTTACCTGACCTCCAAACTTGGCTTTCTGAGCCTGTGGTTAGGAGGCTAGTACACACAGGAAGGAGCAGGAGCCTCAGCTCTCTCTAGTCCGCTTGAGGTTTCTAGTTACAGGCAGTGTTCTTGCCAGCGATGCCACCTCTATGAGGTTACGAATCTTGAAAGTCAGTGCTGACCCAACTCAGGCCCTCTCTTGGTTGGAAAAGGATTGGTGAATTTGTCACGTCACTCTCTTAGGGGGAATTGGGTTTATTTGCCATGATTTCCTGGTTCTTGCCCTCTTCAAGCCTACGGACCCTTTTTCCTTCTACTCGCTGAAAGTTTCTTGTAATTCCTGCCCACTGGCTTGGATTTTACTTCCTGGAGAAGCTTAGTGTCTCTTTCATGTTTGGAGAGTTCATAATATTCTGTATTTCCTGGTTTTGTTCTTTAGTTTGAAAATTAGATAGGACAAAAAAAATAGCCATATACTTTCTACCCAAGTTTAATCAATGTTAACATTTCATTCTTGTGTGAAATGCTAATCAACAAAGAAATAAAACAGGTTTATTTGTTTTTGTTTGTTTTTTGGTACTGGGGATTTAACCCAGGGATGATCTACCACTGAAGTATACTCTTAGCCCTTTTTATTTTTAATTTTGAAATAGTCTTGCTAAATTGCTTAGGATCTTGCTAAATTGCTGAGGCTGGCCTCAAACTTGTAATCCTCCTGCCTCAGCCTCCTGAGCTGCTGGGATTAATAGGTGTGTGCCACAGCACCAAGCTACAGGTAATTTGGAAGTTCATCTTGCTCCTGCCGCAGAGGCAGCCACTCCCATTAATACAGCAGGTAGCTTTCCAGTATATCCTTTTATATTTTTACTACAAAATATCATTAAATTTTAATGGGAGGCTGAGGCAGGAGGATTGTGAGTTCAAAGCCAGCCTCAGCAAAAGTAAGGCACTAAATTTTCCATAAGTGGTGCATCACATGATGTAACTCGCTCAGTTCTCACTGGATATTGTTCTGATTCCTGGTTATGTGTGTGCTCAGACCATACAGCCTTGCCCCTTCCCTGTGGAGCTTTCATTCTGTGGAAGAGGGAGGCTTATATGATGTTTTTTAGCCATTTCCCTGCTAAGATGCATTTAAAACATGTTTCCAAACAACACTGCAAAGAACTCTGTATATGTCCCCTTGTACATATTTACTATGTATAGTCGTTCCTCTATATCAGGGGGATTATTGCTTATGGGACCCCCATGGGCACAAAATCAGAGGATACTCAAATCTTTTGTATAAAATGGTGTAATATTGCTGGGCACAGTGGTGCATGCCTATGATCCCACAGCTTGGGAGGCTGAGGCAGGAGGATTGTGAGTTCAAAGCCAGCCTCAGCAAAAGTAAGGCACTAAACAACTCAGACTCTGTAAATAAAGTAAATACAAAATAGGGCTGGGGATGAGGCTCAGTGGTCGAGTGCCCCTGAGTTTAATCCCCAGTACCACAAGAAAAAAAGGCATAGTATTTTCATAAGACCTCCACACATCCTTCTGTATACTTGAAATCATCTTTAAATGCCTTATAATACCCAGTAATATATAAATGTTATATAAATTGTTGTTGTTATACTGTATTGTTTGGGGAAAAAAAAGTTTGTCCAGTTCAGTACTGACACAATTTATTTTTTCTGAATATTTTTAATCTGAGGTAGGTTAAATCTACAGATGCAAAGACCAGGAAGCTGAGAGAACTGTACATAGTTAGCAAATTTAAAGGATCATAGAGCAAATTCATAGCCTTTTGGCCATATGTTCTCTATTACAATTCATCAATTTTGCTTTTCTAACACAAAAGCAATATAAACAATATGTAAATGAATTACTTTGGGGATTTGAATTTCAAATGATTTTTGTGTGTTATTTTTGTTCCCCCAACCAGTTAAAAATCTACAGGCCATTCCTAACTTAGGATGTACAGGCCTCATCAGCCCAGAGGTTGAGTCTACCTCTCCTGCTCTAGACAGGCCTGAGAGGTACAACTGCTGGCTCACAGGACATGCCCATTTCCACCTTGACTAGATGCCATGAAGGTGCCCTCCAAGGAGGTTTTACAATTATACTCCCCCCAGCAACAAATGAGTGTACCCCAGAACCTTATAAAGATGCTGAACCCAGCACCAGATGACAACAAAGTGTGAGAGGAAGTTGCCAGGAGTTCTGACCATTAAAAAATACCTGGGAAGCCAGGTGCAGTAGCACACATCTCTAATCCCAGCTACTCAGGAGGCTGAGGCAAGAGGATAGCAAGTTTGAGGCCAGCCTGGGCAACTTAGTGAGAGCCTGACTCAAAATTTTAAAAATTAAAAAAGGGAGGGTGGCTGGGGATTGTAGCTCAGTGGTAATATGTTCCCCTGGGTTCCATCCCCAGCACCTCACATACAAAAAAAGAGAGAAAAGAAAAAGAAAAGGGGAATATCTGAGAGTGGGAGGGGCATAGCTCAGTGCTCAGTGGTAGCACACTCACCTAGCATGCACAAGACCCTCAGTTCCACCCTTAGCACCACACACACAACACAAAGAACTGCCCGGGAGAGGATGGAAGGATATTGGAAGGATGGACAGTAGGGGTTTCTAGAGACAGATCACTTTAGCCTCTAAGCTTCTAATCTATCTAGTCCCTATGTGTTGTGGCTGGTGATAACAAGTCCTTATGCTCTGGTTATTATCCTCCCCTGGGTAGAACCAAAGTCTGGATTGAGCCATTACCCAAAATGTATGCTATCTGGTTGGGAAGACAGCATAATGAGGAAAGAGCAGGGCTTGGGGAAGAGCACCTACTACAAACCAACCCTGGCTCTTCCACAGACGACCTTGGTCAAGGACCTTCACGTCCCCTCTCCCTTTCTCATCTGTAACATGCCAATTGGCTGACAAAATGAAATGACAAAAGCACAATGAAAGGTGCCTACACGTAAGAGGTGCCCAGAAGGGCTGTGGCTGTGGCTGTGGCTCAGTGGTAGAGTACTTGCTAGCACGAGTGAGGCACTGGGTTCAATTCTTAGCACCACATATAAATAAAATAAAGGTTCACTGACAACTAAAAAAAATTCAAAAAAAAAAAGAGATGCCCAGAAGTGCTGGCCAACATTTTTAAGAATGCTGCCCTGGCCAGGTGTGTTGGCACATGTGTGTGATTCCAGCAACTCTTGGAGCTGAGCAGGAGGATCGCAAGTTTGAGGCCAGCCTCAGCAACTTAGTGAGGCCCTAAGCAACCTAATGAGACCCATCTCGAAATAAATATAAAAATGGCTAGGGGCCTGGGGATGTGGCTCAAGCAGTAGCGCGCTTGCCTGGCATGCGCGGGGCACTGGGTTCTATCCTCAGCACCACATAAAAATAAAATAAAGATGTGTGTCCACCAAAAACTAAAAAATAAATATTAAATATCTCTCTCTCTCTCTCTCTCTCTCTCTCTCTCTCTCTCTCTCTCTCTCTCTCTCTCCTCTCTCTCTCTCTCCCTCTCTCTCTAAAAAAAAAAAAAAAAAAAAAATTGGCAGGGATGCGGCTCAGTGGATCAGCGCCCCTGGGTTCAATCCCCAGTACCAAAACAAAAAAACAAAAGCCCGCTGCCCTCCTGCCCTCCTTAGTTCTCTTGAACCCACCCTTCACTTCTGAGGAGTTGGGCACAGATCTGAGTGTCATCCTTATGTGAAGGTGAACTAACTACTAAGGAGCAAGGAGCGCAGGGGGGACAGGAAAGCAAAATGTGTACAGATTGGCAGGTGAGGTCCCTGCCAGTTGTGGCCACCAGAGGGCCCTCCCGCCCCAGAGATGGCCCCGCCTGCTCAGATACCCGCTCTCCACATTCTGTAGGCTCCTTGAGGGTAAATTAATTCAGAAAGTGGACAGCCTGGGGTGAGGTCAGTCAGACCAGGTAGGCCTCGTCCCTCATGGGAAAATCTCGGGACTGAGGCAGAGCCCAGGTTGGAATTCCAACTCTGCTATCTGCAACCTTGGGCAAGGCACTTCCCTCCTGGCCCAGTTCAGAGCTGAGATGAAATTGAGATCACTTCAATGCTAGGGGTGGAGATTGGCACTTTCTCCTTTGTCACTCCCAGCCCATGTCCACTTCAGAGCAACACACTCTGGCTGGTAGCCTCTTCTCTGGGGCAGTGGGTTATCAGGGAAGTCACATGTCCCAACCCTGCCAATTCCAAAGCTCCAGGAACTCTGCTGTCCAAGGGGTAGTGCACTGGGTAGTGCGCAAGGAGGTGAAAGGGCAAGGTCACGTGAGCCAGAGCCCCAAAGGGTCTTACTTCATTCAGGATGGGCATCCTGTTTCCTCAGGCTCTGCCGGGATTCCAGGGGCTTAATGGAATGAGTCATGGGTGGGAGTTATTGGGGAGTTCCCAGCTAATCAGCTTGGGACAGGACAGCCTGAAACGAGGGATGGTGCCTATCCAAGCTTTGGGTGGGCACAGGAGGCAAGACCCCAATATCTCAGGTCCCTGTCCCTGCAGGAGTTTGGGAATAAGAATAGGGACAACTAGCTTTTGCCTTCTCTTTTAGAATTTTTTTTCACATTTTTACAGTTTATTGTGTGCCCCCCATAGCAGAGTCATAGTTGGTACATTCTCCTCCATGATTTGACCTAAGACAGTAACACAGCTAGGGGCATGAAATAAGAAGAACAGCTTAAGTTTCTAAATTATGTCTCTTTTTTAAAAATATCTTTTATTTTATTTTCTAATTTGTTCTAATTTGTTATACATGACAGTAGAATGCACTTTGACACATTGTACACAAATGGAGCACAATCTTTTAGAATTTTTACCTAAGATAAAGCGAGGGGCAAAAGGAGCTGCCCAGCACATCTGCCAGAGGGAGGGAGGCAGCGTCAGGTCAGCAGCCTGAACAGACTCTTGCCTCCAGGGCTCTGACCAGCCGCATAGCCTCCTGACAAGTTCTGTTCAAATACCCTGGGGGCAGTTTAGGCCTGGGTGGGGCTGGAAGGGGGAAGAGAGTTTGAGGGGGACTAGACGTCAAAGAAGGATCAGAGATTCCACAATTTCACAAAACTTTCGCAAACAGCTTTTTGTCCACCCCCCCTGCATTGTCCTGGACGCCAAATTTGCATAAATCCTGGAAGTTATTACTAAGCATTATTAGTGGCAGCCCCAGGTAATTTCCTCCCAGGCCTCCATGGGGTTATGTATAAAGGCCCTCTGGAGTTGGCCCCTGACAGAGCCCAGAGCCTGCAGCCCAGACCCCACAAGACCATGGCTGGCCCTGCTGCCCGGAGCCCCACGAAGCTGATGGGTGAGGATCCTGGCTACCTATTTGCTCTGGGTTTGGGAGGGAGTCCGGAGTGGCAGAGGGGCTGGGATCTCCTTTCTGGGCTGGGGGATTGGAGACACTTGGCCTTGTCCCCGGGAGGGAGCCAGGTGGGAGGGGACAGCATCTCCTGAGCAGGGTCTGCTCCAGCCCTACAGCTGCTGCTGTGGCACAGTGCATTCTGGACGGGGCAAGAGGCTGTGCCCCTGGACCCTGCCAGCTCCCTGCCTGTCCCCCAGAGCTTCGTGCTCAAGTGCTTAGAGCAAGTGAGGAAGATCCAGGCCCAAGGCTCTGTGCTACAGGAGAAGCTGGTGAGTGAGACAGTGGAAGCCGCCTGAGGGTGTGGAGGAAAGAAGACCAGAGAGAGAGAGAGAGAGAGAGAGAGAGAGAGAGAGAGAGAGAGAGAGAGAGGGAGGGAGCAGGGAGGAAAGGGGAGCTAACTGAGGGAACTGAGAAGATGTCATCAGGAAAGGGCGCAAAGAGTGAGACACATGGGGGACATGGAAGAGAATTAAGAGAGTGGAGCTGAGGCCGAAGGGCAGGGCCCAGGGCAGTCAGAATTGGGGAGCAGAGTAGAACGGGGCTGAGAAACTGGGCAGGACACTGAGGGAAGGGAAGCCCAGGGAGATGGGAAGGCTTAAGGAGGAGCAGCCTGCAACCTGGCCCTGGTGAGTGGTCCTCAACATCCTTCCATTCCCAGTGTGCCACCTACCAGCTGTGCCATCCTGAGGAGCTGGCGCTGCTCGGCCACTCTCTGGGCATTCCTCAGGCTCCCCTAAGCAACTGCTCCAGCCAGGGCCTGCAGCTGGTGAGTGGCTGGAGGGGAATGGGGAGAGGCGGGTCAGAGGGAGGGAGCACACCCCTATGCCAAGGTGCCTGGGAACAGGGAGTGGCCCACCCCATGCAGCGCCTACCTCTCCTACTCTGCTCTCCAGACAGGTTGCCTGAGCCAACTGCAGAGCGGCCTCTTCCTCTACCAGGGCCTCCTGCAGGCCCTGGCAGGGATATCCCCCGAGTTGTCTCCCACTGTGGACATGCTACAGCTGGATGTTGCCAACTTTGCCACCACTGTCTGGCAGCAGGTGAGCCCTGGAGAGAGAGGCAAGTGACTGACGGGGGTGGAGACCAGGTCATACTGCCATGGCCACACTACATCCCGGAAGCTCGCTACAGTCGAGAGAGCATTCTCGGGGGGCCTTGTGCAGTCAGCCACACCCCTGCTTTCAGGACTCTCCTGCTGGCCTACCTCCAGTCCCTCCAGCCAAGGGCAAGGAGTCAGGTCTCAGACCTGAGTCTCAGTTCCACCATGAACTGCGTGGCTGCCCACAGCCCTGCGCAACAGCCCCCTCCAGTGTTTTCTCTCTTGCAGCAACTCCTGCTCAGCAGAGCCTGATCCCTCATCTCTTCTTTCACCTGCAGATGGAAGACCTAGGGGTGGCCCCTGCTGTGCATCCCACCCAGGGCACCATGCCAACCTTCACCTCTGCCTTCCAGCGCCGGGCAGTAGGTGTCCTGGTTGCTTCCCGACTGCAGAGGCTCCTGGAGCTGGTGTACCGGGTTCTGCGCCACCTTGCTGAGCCCTGAGCAAAGCCCTCCCCACCCAGTGTATTTATCTCTATTTAATATTTATGCTTATTTAAGCCTAATATTTAAAGTCAGGGAAGAGAGAACAGAGCCCCAGACCTCTGTGTCCTTCCCTCCATCTCCGAGTTTCATTCTCCTGCCTGTAGCAGTGAGAAAAAGCTCCTGTCCTCCTGTCCACTGGGTGGGAGGTAGATAGGTAAATACCAAGTATTTCTTCCTGGAGCTGCTCCCTGGCCCTAGCTCTGTGGGGCACTAAGAAGAGCCACAGTGAACTCTGAGGTATCTACCTTGGGGCCCCAGGAAGCATGAGAAGGTCTCCCATGTGGGAGACAAACCAACCCTGTTTAATATTTAAACAGCAGTGTTCCCCAACTGGATCCTTGTATCCCTCGTTCTGGTCAGCCAAGTCCTGTGTCCCCTCACATCCCCATCCCCATAGGCATTATTAAGTCTCTGGAGAAACACAGGCAGCCGGGACTAGGAGTCTTGGACCTGGAATTTGTTGAAGAATCTAGTTTCTTTCTGTTTTGGGGGGCATGTTTGACTCCCAGTACAAGGAGCTCAGACATCAGTGTCCTTGGGTTTCTTGCCCCTGTCCCCACCAAAGTCAGATTCTCCTTTTAGGACTGGGATTAGGAAGGGAGAAGACAAGGGGCAATCACGAAGGGAGTGTGATGTGAAAGGAAGCCCAAGCTCAGCCTCTACCCTGTCCCCACTCTTCATTGTAACCGTGCTGAGGATAATAAAGTGTTTGTCTCTAGTAAATGTTCTTCTTTCTTCTTGAGTCCAGCTAGTGCCTGGCCAGGGGCTGGTGAATGGTGGGAGAGGCCAGAGGGAGTGGGGAGGAGGCTGAGGAGGAGGCAGGTCCTCTAGCTCACCCAGCACTGACTCCTTCAGCATGTACCGCCTGGGCGCCTACTCTGCAAGTGCTGGGCTGTGCTAGGGACAGAGCAATAAAAAGCACACATTCCTTGTCCTGGTGCAGCCATAGCCTTGTAGGAAAGGCAGAAGGGAGACAGACTGTGGGTGCTGGAGGCGAGAGAGGGCTTGGGCCAGACACAGGCCGACTGGGCTATAGCCAGGGGTCCTGAACATGTGCACAGCTGGCTGCTTTACCAGCTGCCATAAACTTGAGCCCATACAGAGTTGCCCACAAAGATGGAAGATGAGGAAGCCGAGTGTTTGGTGACCACTTGGATCAGAACTCAAATTCCAGGGGCTGGGATTGTGGTTCAGTGGAGAGCGCTCGTCTAGCACATGGGAGGCCCTGGGTTCGATCCTCAGCACCACATAAAAATAAATAAATAAAATAAAGATATCATGTCCAGTTACAACCAAAAAGTAAATAAATAAATAAAAACATTAAATTTTTAAAAAAAGAGAACTCAAATTCCAGGCCCGGTTATCTCTTCCTCACAGAGCACTCGTCCAATCGGCCCTTTCCTGCCTGGCTCAGCCTGCGGGTGAAGAGGTCCCAGGGCAGGGCTGGGATGTGGCCAGGGAGAGCTGGGTCCTCGCCTCCTTACCACGTGTGTGAGGCACACCTGTAACTGAAGGGTCCCTGCCTGGTTTGGGAGTGTCCCCCAAGCCAAGTGGAGCCACCATCCTCAAGACCTCCCACCTGTGGCTCCTCAGTCACCTCCATTCCCTTCCCCACCTGGTCCTTAGGCAGGGTCAGAGCCCTGCAGGATGGCTCAGGGCCTTCTGCCTCAGGCTTGGAGAGTGGTTTGTGAACAAAAAAGGGTTAAGGAGTTCCTGTCCTTATCTCCCCTGCTCTTTTTCTGGAGGGGACAGATCAAATTATGGGTCAATCAGACTGGGTGGGGCATGAGAGAAGAGCAGGACACCCTGCCCCAGCATCTTATGGCCTTCTGCCCAGGCTCCCTTCTCAGGGTATGGCTCAGGGCAGGGAAGGCGGTACCTCTCCTTTCCACCCCAGTCGAGTCTGTGGAAAGCAGCTGTTCTCATCCCCTGGCCTGCCCTGTCCTCCTGAGTGGACAAGCGGGAACCTGAGTCCTGCCTGCCTCTGCACCTCTTCCTTCTCCTCCTCCCTCCTCACCACAGGATTGAGCCCCTCCCGGCCACAGCCCAGCAGGAAGAGTGCAAGAAGAAGTCCCCATCCTGATCCAGGCAACACAGGTACTAGAGGCACAAAGGACCCGTAAGGACTTTTATTTACAAGTGAGCTTTCCCTCAGTTACTACAAAAATATATTTATATACATATACGAATCTGTAAAGTTCCTCAGGGCTAAGTGTACTTCTGGAATGTGGGGGACACCAAAGGCTGAAGATCCAGGCTGCTCACGCTCTTCAGGCATTAGCATAAGGGAGAGGAAATCACAAAAGAAACTGTGAAAGTCCAGAGAAGAGCAAAAATCTGGAAACTGACAAAGGGTTCTCATATCATGTGGATTTGAGCAACAAATGTTCCCATCTAACGCTCTTGGGCTGGAACCTAGCCACTCACTGTGGCTCCTCTAAGTCCCTCAGAGAGCAGCAATGGCTTTGGCAGCCACCTGGCGGCCCAGAGGAAGGCTGAGGTCTGTGATGGCCAGAACCACCTTGGGGCTGGACATGGCTGACACCTTCACCAGTTCTGAAACCTGCAAAGAAAGATGGACAAACGGCTGCTCACTGGGGTAGTTCAGGCAGGTGTGATGTCCCAGGAGGAAGGAGTCCCTTCCTTCTGTGAACCGCTACCCCTAAGGCTTGCCACCCTCCTCATCTAGATGTGGTACTCACAGTGGTGAAGGGCATGAACTGCAGGATGCTGCCCCGACTGCCCTGCTCCAGGCAGTCCACGCACTCCTCCATGAACCACTGCACAAACTGGGTGTGGGGGCCCGCGGTGCGGGAGCCCAGGATGGAGGAAATGAGCAGAAACAGGTTGGCTGTGCGGAGGGGGAGAACAGAGAATTCATGGGAGGATCTGAGAACAGGTCAGACTCAGGGGGAAGACGGGACTGGGAAAGGAAGACAAAGAAGTGCCGGAAGTGCTCTGGATGGGGATATCAGAGAGAAAAAGCAAAGAGGAAAACAGAGAGGAGAAGGGGGCAAATGGGAGCCGGGGAGACAGGAGAGATGGAGGGGAGAGGTGGGGACATGCGGTGGAGGGCAGTGAGGGGGTACTAGGAGGACCCCTTCCACGACAAGGCCTGCTGGCTTCCCCTGAGGAAAGGGGACTCCTTCCAGCTCAGCCCCCAGATTCAGACGCAGTTGAGAAGACTCACCCAGGACTCGGTTCAGAGGGTCCCTCATGTTGACTGTGTGGAGCTGAGAGGCTGAGAGGGAGCTGTTCATGGACCGGTCAGCTGTGGGACAGGGCAGAGGGGGCAATGCACTCAAAAACTGACTCTCCCAGGGCTAGTCCTCACCTGTCCACCCACAGGAGGTATTTGGTGTGTGCTGTGTTAAGAGAAGATCTTTGGATCAAGAGTCACAGTAGGGCCCCACATACAGGAGATGAGTGAGAAGAACTAACAAGCACCACCAGGGCCAACCTTGGCACTTCTCATGGAGTACGTGGCTTAACGCTCTCAACGCCCACTTTACAAATGGGAAAACTGAGACTCAGATTTGCAAAGTAACCAGCTATAGGTCACAGGTTTACAGGTGGCAGACCCAGCATCTTTCAAGCATGTGGTTGGTTCCCTAGTCTCTGAAAGGCCCCAAAGAAACTTCTACAACCTCTGGAAATAGGAGAAATTAAATACCGCCGAAGCCGCCTCTGGCAGGAAGCCTCGCAATGAGGGGAGGACAGTGAGAAGGTAATGACATCCAAGGAAGCAGGATGGAGAGGGCAGGAGGAGCGGGAATTAGCCTCAAGTCTCAGCCTGGGCCTGCTCCAGGCCACAGGGCATGTTTCGGGGGGAAGGAAGGAAGGCCACAGCTGGTGAGTCAATGGCACAGGCTGTGCCGAGGTAGTGAACTCCCTTAATGCAGGGTCACTCCTTAACCCTGTGCTGAGGAGGTTCGGGAGGGGTAGCTGTGGGGCTGGGAGGACCTGGGCAGAAGAGCTCCTTATTTATTTATTTATTTATTTATAGTGCTGGGATTGAACCCAGGGCCTCGTGCATTCGAGGCAAGCACTCTACCAACTGAGCTATATCCCCAGCCTGCAGAAGAGCTTCTTTAGGGACAGAGAACAGTGACCTTATCTCTAGGGGTAAGCAAGGGAGCATCCCCTAGGGAACAAAATGACACAAGCCCCTGCCACACCCTCTGACCAGCCAGCACAGACTGGTGACCAAGGCTGTAGCTGAGGTGCAGGGCTGAGGCCCATGGCAGGGATCAAGCGGAGCAGCTTCCCCAGGGAAGAGTGAGTGCCCAGGCAAAGAGGGGCCCATGCAGCCCTCCCACACACTCACTGGGACTGGAGAGGATGTTGGCGTCGTCCTCATTGGAGCTCAGCAGTCGCATCAGCTTTGATGGCTGCATGTCGTCCAAGGGAAAGAGGCTGATGTAATCCTGGAGAGCAGGAAAGTCACTAACACTTACCCCCAGTCCTCAAAATTCCAGCCACCAGCAAAGAGGACTGGAACTCAAGTCTGAGCCCACAATTGCATGCTGGCAATGCTGATCCCTTGCCTCACCCCTCCACAGACCCAGTGAGCAGATAGGACCTCGGCCAGGGGCAGCTGGGGGTCCACACAAGCCACCTCTCCAGATCTTGACTGACCAAGTCCAACCAGCTGAGGCGAGGGCAGTGCCCATGTTTCTGACCCTACTTCCCGAGGAGGCCTCTTTTACCAGCAAACACTCAGAAAAGGTGAATAGAGACATTAATAAGTGAGCAGAGAAGCCTCTACCTCAATGTCTTCCCGGTGTCTCTTCTTTTGGCGGGAGGATGCCTGTCCCTTGTGGGAGGAGTAGGAACTCAGGGCACACCATACAGCTAGTCTAGCAAAGGGTTCCAGGAAAAGGAGGTACAGTTAGTGGGAACCAGAACAAGGTACCTGTGTCCACACTGATCAAGCCCCACCTCACAGGATATGCCCACAGCCAAGCTCCCAAGGCGGTACAGGTTGGGGTGCCTAACTTTGGGCGGCAGGGGCTGGAGGCCCACGTGTGGGAGCCAGGCAGGCTCTGAAGAGAATCCTACTTCGCCAGTGCAGTGCCGGGGGGATCCATGAGGCTGTGCCACTTGGAGGAGTCGGTGAGCAGGCCAGGCAGGATGTGGCCCAGCAGGACGAGGGTCACTTGCTGCATGTCCAGACAGAAGATGGAATAGAGCAGCTCCACTGCCCGCAGCGTGTGCTCCTTCCGAGTCTCCTTCAACAGCTCCTGATGGGCAGGTGAGCCGGGCTGCTGAGGAGCTGAAGGCCCGACTCTGGCACTCAACACCCCTACCACTCCTGTGGGCTCTCTGGGCAGGTACGGGGGCCAGAGTGCTTTATTCCCCCACCCCCATCCCATACTCAGTATTCCCAGGAGGCTGCCCAGCTCACAGCAGCATCTTTAAGAGAATCCTAGCCAGCCGGGCTGGAGGCTGGTCTCAGGCTGAGGACACCTGCCTACCCCAGCCCACACCCACCCAGCCCAAGTACCTTAATCAGGTTGTTGCAGAACCAGTAAACACCTCCCATGTGCAGCAGGGTGTCGAAGATGTGGATGGAGCGGCTGTCCACCCAGCCCTTTTCCAGCACCTTGGCAAAGATGTCTGTTAACACCTCCTTGATGGGCCGCTTGGGGGGCAGCAGGTTCCAGTAGGGCATTGTGTCCACCCCCGTGGATGGGAACTTGATCTGAGTGGCTGTCTGCTGT